TGTTTACAATACTGGCGCAATATTATAAACTATATCGGGCCAATATTACAACGTGACCATTTTGCCAATATTGGCCAATATTGGCGCTACAATAATGCGCCAATATTGTAAAGTCAATATTGGCCACTATTAGCAAAATGTTCACTTTGCAATATTGGCAATACAATATTGCGATACAATATTGGCGATACAATATTGCGCCACAATATTGCCGATACAATATTGGCGATACAATATTAGCGTTACGATATTGCGATACAATTGGCGATTCAATATTGCGCCAAAATTGTAAAGTCAATATTGGCCATTATTAGCAAAATGTTCACATTGCAATATTGGCGCGATAATGCTTAAAATATTGCGCCAATATTGTAAATAATATCGCGCCAATAATGGGGATAAAATAATAATTTGGTTTTTAGAAGTTTGTTTAAAAAGTGGTGCCCAAAAATCTAATTCCATTTTTAATTATCTTAATTATCTTAAGATGTTTTACATCTTTTGTCTCCAAAAGATGTAAAACAAATGGTATTTCAGTTATGTGAAGAAAATAGAATTATTCACAAATTTAATTGTGCAACTAAGTCAGCAGGAAAAGAATGGTTTAGGGGTTTTTTGAAACGCCATAATGAACTCTCTGTCAGAGTTGCTGAGTCAACGCCATTGCATCGAGCCATTGGTTTTAATAGAATAAAAGTTAATCGTTTTTACGATGAACTAGAAAAAATTATGTTTAATGCTAATGGGATGCAGATTATTCCACCATCAAACATATTCAACGTAGATGAATCTGGATTGTCTATTTGTTATAAACCAGGAAAAACTGTTGCTCTTAAGGGAAAACACAGTGTTGGTGGCTTAACAAGCTCCGAAAGAGGTAAAACAATCACAATAGTTTGTTGCCAATCAGCAAGCGGGTTTTTTTGTCCTTCCAATGTTGATCTATCCACGTATTCGAGTGAAACCTGAATTTTTAGATAAAGCCCCAATAGGTTCAAAAAAGGCTGGATAACAACTGAATTGTTTGAAATATGGTTTGATCATTTTTTACAAGCAGTCCAGCCTCAGTCAAGAAACCAACCAGTTCTTCTAATTTTAGATGGACATTCAAGTCATAAAAAAAATCTTAGTATTATTAAAAAAGCACGCCACTCAAATGTTATTATTTTATCACTTCCATCCCACTGCACCCACAAACTGCAACCACTTGATGTTTCGTTTTTAAAAAGCCTCAAAATATTCTATGATCAGGAGGTTAGTACTTGGCTTCGTCACCATCCTGGTCGTCCCGTAACTGAACTAGGGGTTGGTAAATTATTTGGAAAAGCCTATGGGAAAGCTGCAACTGTTCAAAATTGTCAGTCAGGGTTCAAAAAATGTGGAACATATCCATTTGATAGAAATGTCTTTACTGAAGAAGACTTTGCTGCAGCCAAGGCTACTGATCACTCGTATGTTGTATCAAAAATTCCAAAACCAAATAATACCTCTGAAATGCACTCTACTCTCAACAATGGGTTAGACTCTGCTAAAGAATTAGATAATATTGGTTTTGTTACAGATTGTGTTATTGACACTCAAAAAGGTAAATCGTCATAAATGTTGTGTTATTTTTAACATCTTCCGCATTTTATTTAAAATACAAATATGACTTTTTTAAAATCAAGCAAAATATTAACTTATCTGTTGTTTTATTAACCTAAAAAAAGGTTTATTAAAGAAAGTTCAAGTTTTTAAAAACATTTTAACTAATTTTTATAATTTGCATGTTGCCTATTTTCATTCACCCTCTTTAGTTAAATAATTTTTATTTAGAATCTATTTCACCAAATTCATCATTTACACTTCAGAAGTCATAACAGGTTTAAGAAAGAGGGTAAATCATGCTGAAAAAATTACTGGATCACCATATAAATCTCAGCTAGAGGAATCTTTAAACTTGAAATATAAGAACAGACAGCCACGTAAAAAGTGCATTAAAAAAAGTATATTTACTCATCAAAAGACGTGTTTGAAAAACCTTGATGCTAAAGGTGCGATTAATAAACAACTTTGTGCAAAGTGTCAATACAGTTATGGTGATCCTGTCGATCCTTATTTAAAAGATAATTGGGATAAATGCCTTAAATGCTGTAGATGGTGGCATGAAACATGTGCTGCTATATGTGGTGTTTATACTAAAAAAGTATTTACTTGTGATGACTGTATAAAGCACTGATTCTTAAAAAAAAAGTTATATGTCATATATTGATAAAATGTGTTTTAACTTTCTTAAATAAATCTCTTGTTAAAAAAGTTTCTTTTGAGTTTTGTTTTTTATTTTTTTAAGTTTAACTATTGAAGTTATGTAAAATATTATTTTATGAACTACTTATGAGCTTATAAACATAAATTCTTATTTAAACAGAATTTAGAAATAATCATCGAAATCGTAGAAATTAGTAATTGTTTCATTAACAATTATACTTTGGAAGCACATTTATATTTAATAAGGTTTCTGTTTTGGGTGACATTCATACTTTAATAAAAAAGGTGACATTCATACTTTAAAAATACATGACATTCATACTTTAATAAAATAAATAGGTGGTTCAAAAATAATTATTTTTTGCAACTGAAACGCCCTTAATTAAGTGCCAATTAGGTGTAACAAATTCTATTTAAGAGACAATTCTTTATACAATCCAGATTTATAGCTGTTAATAATATTTTAAATATACTAATGCGTTTTCAACAAACCTCTTAATTTTCATAACTCTGCCGAATTTACCGTACCATAGTGCCGAAAATACCATACTTGGTAGCTAATTTCGTCATTTTTGAGTATTTTGTAAAACAGGTTTTACGTAAAACTTTGTAAGTTGGAAACAATTTTTTAACTATTATTTAATAGATATATCTGCAGTGCATCGATATGCATGATTTTTTAACATTATTAAAGCAACCGTTGTCTATAAACAGCAAAATAGCTTAATACGCCGAAATTACCCTACTTTACCCTATATTAGTACGTACATTTACCACTTTTATAAGATCAATTGTAGAATATTGCTCTCCAGTTTGGTCGCCACACCAAACTATGTTAATAAAATCTACTGAAAATATCTAAAAACAATTCACAAAAAAAATTGCTAATCTTAGTTGTTTAAGCAATTCTAGCCGTTTATAACTGCTTGGTTTGGAGTCTCTGGAACTCAGACGTTTAAAACATGATTTAGTTATATGTTTCAAATTATACATAATTTGGTTTGCATAGCTAAAAGCTTATTTTTCGAAACTACCAATAATAAATATACCCGTGGTCATAATTATAAAATTCACAAGCAACGAAGTCAACTCGACATTTGCAAATATTGTTTTTCTTAGCGAGTTGTAAATACTGGAATAATCTGACATCAGGAGCTGTAAATGCTCTCAACATTTGTATTTTTAAAATTATAATAAATACGTGCAATTTCGATAAACACTGTGTTTATAAAGTAAATGAATGAATGAAACCCAGAATGTTTAAGTTATAAACTATATTTGTTTCATGTAATTTTTTATCTTATTTAGGGGCATATTGTCAGTATCCATTTATTGGACCTGTGTGTCCTTTAGAATATGTAATTTTTAAACTTGTTCTAATAAATTTATATTTAATAATCTATATACACATTAGTTACAAATTTGTAAATAAATAAATATATATTTATTTCTTTACAAATTTGTAACAAAATTGTTTCTTATAACAGCGTTTTAATTACTATTTCTTTATGTGTATAATTTGTGACTTGCTAATATTTTATGCCTTTTTTTGATTTTTTTTATTACCATTTAAAGCATACTATCAAATTTCAGAGCTAATAATGGAAACCTGTCCTTGGAACATGGGTTTTTAATTGTTGAGCACTTGGATCTTCCCCTTGGAGTTGATTCTGAGGAGGCTCAGGAAGTACAAAATAAGTCCATACAAGGTAAAAGACTCAATCACACATGCAAAGTATCTAGAACTATTGTGATGTGGAAGCGACCCTGTGATCTCTTTGATTGCTTTCAGGAACCCCAAGACATTTGCTATTCATATTTTATTACTTTGTTCTTTCATGTTCATAACTTTGATCCTGACTTGTAGGACCTCCTCAGAGGAGATGAATAGTTGTATTTTTCCTAATAGACGTTTTCTATTAAATTTAAACTTTTTCTCGTAAAAATTCACTTATCAGTACATATAATCAGGAATTACATATTAATGCTTAAAAAAGTAAGGTAAATCAGGCATATTTTTCACTTGATCACTGAGTCGTTTCAAATTATGACAAAATGACTTTTGCTAAAGTTAATATGCCATTTTATTTAACTTCTTGTGAGAAGAAACCCATTAAAAACTTAGATTTAGAAATAAAGCATTTCATTTTTCCGAATATTATATTTCTGTAACATAGTCAACTTGGCTCAGCTACAGTTATAAATAAATTTTTGAAGCGCCGCATTTTAACTACTTGTAAAATCTTGTTACAAGTAGTTAAATTACTTTTCTCTTTCGCATTAAAAAAAAATGTATGTAACAAATAAAAAGGGAAAGAAAAACTGAGTTGACTGTAGCATTATGCTTCACTTGCTACAGCCTGATCCGCTCCTGATGATGTTAACATTTTGAAAAATGATACCTATTTATTAATTTACAATTAAGTAAACAACTTTATTTGTAACTTAAAATTTAACTTTTACTTACGAATAAAATTCGAAGAAAAATTCTACCAAACTATTGAATTTTTTTATTTTGACAACAACAATTGTGTGAAGAAACAAATGGTGGAAACTTTAAAATTTATATATTTAGTATATATTTAGTAAATCAAAAATTAAAATAACTTTTACAATATAATAAAATATATTTAATATTTTATTTAAAAAAAAAAAAAAAATTAAACATACAACAAATATTTTAAATATATAAAATATTAAACAAAAGATTTCCACTAAAAAATTATTAAAATTTTTTCGTATATTTTAAAACATATTTAATTATAAAATAATATATTAAATATTTTATTTATTATTTTATAATTATTGTTTATATTTTATTTAAGATTAAACATTTTTCTGTGTTATAAAGTTTTTTAATTCATCGAGGTTACGAAAACCTTCTCCACGGGAGTAGATCCACAAATACTTGAAATTCAAACATCGAATCCATTCATAAATCTCTTTAATGAAATCGATGCCGTCGTGAAGTATAAGATTTAATTCTTCACAAAGATTAATCCACGGAAGAAAATTTTCTTCAAAATCTTTTTTCGTTATTAAATCTAGATTACGATTAATATCACCACGTGAGTTGACAATGTCTATCGCCAAACTTTCAATCTTATCTTTCGGTTTCCATCCTTCGATTTTAATTAGACAAGTAAAGTTGACATTGCGAACATTTGTTGAGCATTGAACTATAAGATTTTTTTCTTCATCGCTTAAAATATTTTTACAAACACTTAAGCACGATAACTTTCTTCCAGATTTAATGTAATGATTTACGAAATAATTTTCACAAGAAGTTTCGTAAGAAGTTTTTCCATCGTCAATCAAAATCTCCCACTCTCGTTCATCGACGATTAATTTTATTTTATCAGTAAACGATGATTGACTTTCATAAAAACATTCAATAAATAAATTAACGTAATCAGTTTCAAGATAAAAATCGTTTTTACTTTGACGATATAATTTAAGTAGACGATCTAAAGAAAAAATAAATATAAAATAACAATTAAATAAAAATTAAATAATCGAAATTATAATATCATAAACATAATATTCTACATAATAATACATAAATCAATATCAATTTATAATTATTATGATATTTTATCATTCAAATTATTAAATTTTATTTATTTAAAAACAATTTAAATAATTTAAATAAATAAATATATTAAATATGATAAATAATTTTTATTTATCATATTTATAAAACAAAATAATTTCATTATTTAATTATTAATAATTGAAACTTAAAAAAAAAAAAAATAACAACTCACAATTTATATGCTTTATGGTATATATGTTTATAATTTGTTATTTTATATTATAAAATATATTAAGTGATGCAATCTCCGTTTATTTAGAGTGAACAATAAAATTCCACGTAGAAATAAGAAATACTTATAAAAAGAAATACGGAAAACAAAGGAAAATGATATTAAAACTTATTCGAAAATAATAGATTAAAATCATAATCAAAAATCATTGTTAAAACATATCAACCAGGGTTAAAGCCTATGCTTTAACATATCTATTCAAATAAAAGTATATGTAAAAGTATGTAAGCCTAGAAGTATAATAGAAGCGGCATTTTCCAAACCAAATACAAATTCTTATTTTAGGTACCAATAAAAAATACCAAGTATTTTTTAAGACAAATTTTTTTAAAATAGTATACTAAATAGAAGAATGAAAGCAAATGAACAAATATCAATTAACACATTTTTAAATCAATTTAATGTTAAAAAATGACAAAAACAAACAACGAATCTCTTGATTTATAACAAAAAATGTTTTTTTTGTTAATAATAATAAATTGAAAAATTTTTGTTCTTGAAAAATATAAAAAAATAAGTACTACAAGTTGTTAAAAGCTTTATTTTACAGAATCATTTTATAAATATATATTTTTTACTTTATATATTTGATATTTCACTGTACTTTTGAGCTAAAGTATATACATAAAAGTAGTACATTTTCGGCAAAAATTAAACATACGTTTTAAGCAGGAAGAAATACAAAAAAAATTTCTAACCGGAATAATAACAGAAAGAAAAAAAGAAAGAATGGAAAAGAAAGTCAATTAAAAATACAATCGATTAACATCTCAAAACGTCGAAAAATCAGTATGACAAGTTTTATCTTGTTGTTTATATTTAAAAAGAATGAGCTGAAAATTAAATTACTTCAAAAATGTATCAAACGTTTTGTTAATTCTTGTATCTTACAGGGTTATTCATTCTTATATGCGCGTCTATTCATTTTTATATGCGCCTTTATTCATTTTTATATGCGCCTTTATTCATTCTTATATACGTTTTACAAAAGCAATTGTAAAAACGCAATTTGAACAAAAAAAATCATTTAAGCAATTTGTTTTGAAAAAATAGTTTATTTTTTCAAAACAAACTTTTCTTATTTCCAGGTAAACGAGGTTAAAAATACTTAAAACGAAGACCTTTTACATTCGACGATGGTTTATTTAATTTAGTATTAGTTCTTTGTAATTTTATTATTAAATTTCTTGATTGATTAAGTTATTATTTATCTAATTATTCATTTATCTAGATTTAAATTTAATTGTTTATAACAGTGGCGGAACTTCAAAATTTGGGCCCCCCCGCAAAAGAATGTTTTTTTTGCGGAAAAGAGTTTTATAGTATAAATATTATTGAGAGCATAACTTTTTTTATGAGACCCCCTATAGCTGGTAGGCCCCCCCGCAACGCAGGGTCCTGCGTCCAGTAGTTCCGCCACTGGTTTATAATTATTATTAATATCAAATTATACATCCCTATGTTTGTATATGCGTCAACCACCCATAAAATCTCTAATATAATTTAATATAAACGATAAATACGCTTTTAAATTTTTATATAGACATATTTAAAATATAAATTAGGTTGTTTTCATTGTTATTTATTTAAGAAATGGTTGCCGAGCCAGCGCTTGATTTATATAACTACGCATATGGTTGTAAAATGGAACTATATTAAACTCTGTAGTATCCATAATATTTTTAAGTTTCCTGATTACCTCATCCGTATATCGAGGCCTTTCTCCCTGCTTGTAAGTATGTTTTAAAGAAGAAAAAAAATTCTTCTATTGGATTAAGCTGTGGCGTGTAAGCTGGCAGATACTTAATAGCTATACCATGAGAGGCTAGTATTTGCCTAACAGAAAGACTCCAGTGGAATTTACAATTGTCCATAACAAGCACCGGCGCTTCCACATTTGCATTCCTAATCGCTGGTGCCATCATTGTAGTTAAGAAAGTACAAAATGAATCTGCATTCCAGCCTCCAGTTTTTGTTTCATAAGCAAGCACTCCCATTGTTGAAACAGCAAAAATTAAACTAACATTCTTGCCACGATTTGCAGGCGACTGTAAAATTGCTGGCGCACCTCTTAGCGAATAACCATATGTGCTGTTAGTGTGCACATTAAATCCAGTTTCATCCAAATAAATAAGTTTTTCATTTGAAATTCCGTTAAGTTCGCTTGCAAATGCATAACGCGCATTAATAATTCGTGTTGAATTTCGTTCTTCTGGCACATGCACAACATGTTTTCTTGATAAATCCGAGCGTTTGAGTTTTCTTGAAATAGTAGGCTGAGACATGTTGAAGCCTGCTGCAGAAAGATTTTCTTTTATTGCTTCTTGCGTGCAAAGATTGTTTTCTTGTACGCATAATTCGATAATACTTTTTATTTGAGCGTTTATAGGTCTTTCACCTCGTTTTTTATCAGAAGACGACTTAAATGCAGTCATGTCGTCGAATTCTCCTCTGTTTAACTTAACGACAAGATTTTGAACTGTGCGCTTCGATAAATTAAGAGAAGGGGAAATGCTTGTTGTAGATTGATTTCTTTCAACTAAATGCTTAAGCATTTCAATTTGCTCTTTTGTAACATTTTTCCGGTAGTCGGTAAAATGCGAACTGCGAACCGCGAACTGGTAAAATGCGAACTTTTTTGCAAACCATGGTTCTATTGGTTGTTAATGATGTAATACTTTATTTTCCGTTTGCCGTTAAATTGTTTATTTTCCAAAATATTTTAAGGACTACACGCAAAAGCATTTATTTAAAAAAAACAAATTGAGTAAAACTAGTATGAAAAAAGAAAACTGCGAAAAAAACAGATACTTAAGATGAAAAAGTGAATAGTAAGAAAAATCTGTAAAAAATGTATAATGAAGAAATAGTTCTTTGTTTATACTTCTTCTACAGATTCATATATTATAACGAAGATTCATATAGAAGGGATATGATATTAAAAAAAACAACATTCAAGGTACACCTTTTGTTACTATAAATATATATTCTACACTCTGTTTTGATAAGTAAATATAATTAGTTAAAAATATATTTTATATATTATACGTACTTTATTAATTATATTATATATATGTATTTATATAAACTATGTAAAAACTTTATTTATAGTTTTTGTTTACTTTTCTTTTGTTTAAAGTTGTTATCAACATGATCTATCTATATATGTGTGTGTGTATATATATATATATATATATATATATATATATATATATATATATATATATATATATATATATATATATATATATATATATATCATGTTTTTTTTAAGGCATTAACTTTAGCTATCAAATCTTTTATTTCGTCTGGATTAGCATCTCCTGCTGGAATAACTTCAATATCAAGTGTTCTTGGTCTTTTTCTTCCTCCTGTTTTGTCAGATTTTTTTCTTGTATTTCGACGAAGTTGTGTTAGATTAACCTGTTTTTTTTTGTTGTTTGTAACAGATAGACCAATAGCCTGGCGTGCTGCCAATATATGATAACATCTACTTTCAGCTGGACATGAACATGTCTCTTTTGGAAACAGTTTTACTACACGTGGTTCTATAGATCCTTTTACAATAAAGGTTGCAAGTTTGGGGTCAAGAGCAATATGAGAATTTCTAATGATTTCATTGGCCCTTTCAACAGAAGTTATCATAGTTGTATCTTGTACTAACTCTAAACTTTTAGATGTATTATGCATAAATTGATTGTTGATGGTTTCTTTAATAAGTTGAACAATTTGTTCTGGTGCTGTTGTATCTGGAATATGAAGATCACATTCTTCATAAGTACCTTTCAATTCAGCTCTTAATTCATATTGGCCAGTTCCTTTTCGAGCACGATAAATTTCCACCATACTATATTGTATAAGTCTATATAAGCTTAAAGCCATTGAATCTACAGTAGCCTCTTTCCAGTCCTGTAGTCGCTTAATTACAGTATTAAATGCTTCTGATTGATTTGTTGTAATTTCATGAAAGTTAAACTGTTTAATTCTCCAAGATCCAAGTTTGTCTACTACACTATGAATTGTTTTGATATAGTACTCAGAAAAAGGCTGACTCCATGCTGATAACATTGTTATTAGTTTGTCTTTATATGAAGATTCAGAATCAGAACGAAGAAGAGATTGAATACATTCAGTGTAATATGCTAATTCATCTTTTGTCTTCACTCCATGCAATTGTAACCATCGCTTACTGTCCTGCAAAACATGGTTCCAACAAAGAAAATGTGAAACTGATGGAAAACTTTCTTTGATGGCCTCTGTTATAGCTCGTTCTTGATCTGTGACAATAAAAACATTCTTTAAAGCAAGTTCTGGGCATACTAATTTCATATGTTGCCAAAATATGGAATGGGGCATTAGTGTTTTTCGCTCATGTATCATAAAAGCTAGTGGAATGATTGGACTTGGGTCAATCTCAGTTTCTCTAAATAGCAAAACAGAAAGATAGAAGTCGCCTAAAGAAAAAGTTGTATCATATGATAGTTGCTGAGGTAGTTGAGACAATTTCAGTACTTGCTGAAAAATTTGCAGTGTTTCATCTGAGTACATAACTACCACCAAATCAGGAAATGTTATTATACTATGAATAAAATTTGTATCATACGCTAATTCATGAAGATTGTATAAACTATCTCTAGATAAACGCTGCTGATTGCGTGTTGATTTTAAAGTATTACTGACTTGTTCCATGTTACGTGGAACTGCTGTTATATTTATATCAGCTGTATTTGATAATATTATGTCTTTGTATACTTTTTGGACAGAACCTGTACTTTCCTTAATTTGGTTTATAACACCTGGCTGTGTCCTGATAAAATCTCTATTACATCTAGTAGCATTTCCATAAGGAAACTGCACAGCCTTAGCTTCATCACCTATGTATGATATCAGAACTGAATTAGCATAATCAGCATGATAGTGTGCTCTACGTACAAACACATCACTTACTGTGTCTTGTGCAACAAGAATTCTAAAATACTTCCTTTTAATTCCATTATTTGTCTTTGAACCCCCTTGCCTCCACCTGTAACCATCTGCACGCCAATTTTCTAAATAATATTTTATGTTATTGTGAATAATTTTCCTTGGTTTTTAATTTAAAAACAATTTAATCTTCAAACGATCCTTAATTCTTTTAAAATGTGAATAAATTGTATAAATTATATATATATATATATATATATATATATATATATATATATATATATATATATATATATATATATATATATATATATATATATATATATATATATATATATATATTCACATATCTTACCTTTATCCTTGTCATTAGTCCACGAGAAAATGTAATTAGTACCAGCTTTTGGTTTGTACCGAACAGCGAATTCAGCGGGTAAAGATTTAAATAAATCTAATTCCATTATATTATTTAATAAAAGGAAGAATTGAATAGCAAATGTTTTATATAACTTTAATATATTATATTGCGGTCATTAAAATGTAATGTTTTGGTTCGCAAAAAAGTTCGCATTTTACCGGTTCGCAGTTTGCGGTTCGCAGTTTGCATTTTACCGATTACCCATTTTTCCTTGTTTTACGATTATTTTCTATTCCATCCATAGGGTAAAAATTTGGTATTAATAATTTTAAATAAATAAATAATAAATCTAGAAAAATAAATAATTAGCTAAAAAATAACTTAATTAATCAAGAAATTTAATACAATAATACAATTTAATACAATGTAATAAAATTAAACTAAGAACTAATACTAAATTAAATAAACCATCATCAAATGTAAAAAGTCTTCGTCTTATAAGTATTTTTAAACTCGATTACCAGGAAATAAGAAAAATTTGCATTGAAATAATAAACCGTTTTTTCAATGATTTTATTAAATGATTTTTTTTGGTTCAAATTGCTTTTTTAAAATTGCTTTTGTAAACCACATAAAAATGAATAAATGCGCATATAAGAATGAATAAAGGCGCATATAAGAATGAATAAAGGCGCATATAAAAATGAATAAATGCGCATATAAAAATAAATAAAGGCGCATATAAAAATGAATAAATGCGCATATAAGAATGAATAAAGGCGCATATAAAAATGAATAAATGCGCATATAAGAATGAATAAAGGCGCATATAAAAATGAATAGACGCGCAAATAAGAATGAATAACCCTGTAATTAAAAAATTTAATTTGTCAAAAAAATAATGATACGCTTGATATCAATACAAAAAAATGTTTTGTACCAATTTGAATTTAGTTTCAATACGATTTCTTAAATAATTAACTAATTACAGGTGACAAAATGATTCCTAAAAACATTTAATGAAAAAAAAAAACCAAATTGTGAGATTTTAAATATTAGAAACTCGATCATCGAACTTTAAAAAATCTTTCAATAAATTCGAACAAAATTAATTAAATTCTAAACAACCGTATTGCTAATAGATAAACGTATCGTAACTATCGCAACAATTTTTATAAAATGAAAATACAGCGAATTGCGAAGAATAAAAAATTTTTGAGAATTTTTTTAATCGCATTTTATATAATGACTATAAATCAAGTTTAAAGCAAGAAAATGTGATTATTAACTTAAACTGTCATTGGAGAACATAAAAAATGAACTAAAAAATAACTCACATAACAAATTAAAAAACAATAAAGTAACCTATTAAACAAATTAAAAAACAATTTATTTACCTATAAAACAAGACAAGTCGAACGATATATAAAACATTTTGTTTATTTGATATATAACATATTTGGTACGTACCTAATTTTTAAACAACTAACTCAGCTCAACTTAGGTAAAATAAACATCGTTTGTTATGAACTGCCTCAACTCTGGTTTAAATTTAAAATCGCTTATATTAAAAATGGCGTAATATTACTAATATGCACTCTGTTATCAGATTGTTATACCAATTTATTTGTTGATAATTTTTGATTATTGTTAACTATGACAATTTTAGCTTATTTTTAACTTAAAAAGTGACTGAAACCAACTATCCTAAAGTTAAAAAGCTTTAAAAAAACAATCATCCTATAATGTCAAATAAGTTTATAAATTTTTTTTTGTAAATTTAATGTAAAGAAATAGCAAATTTAATAAATAATTCAATAATTATTTTAAACCCATTTTTGTTTTTTATTTTTAAAACTATTTTATTTGATTTTAATCAATTTTTTGTAGCAGTATAAAAATAAATAAATATAAATTAAATACATAAAATTATAAAACAAACAAAAAATTTGAATTGACAAAAATACCCTACTTACCCCTAAAATAAATTGCATTGACAGAAATAACTTATTTTTGGAAAAAAAAGGTAAAAAACTAAATATTTTTCATATCTTATTAACCAGCTTTATGTTTCTATACATTGACTCATTATAATGCGTTTTTGAACTTACCTAAAATTAAAAACAAAAGTTCTTCAGAACAAATTTTCGAAGGATTCAAGTTAACAAGAAACTTTAATAAATTATTTTGACTTTTATTAGTTAATCCACAAATCATTGATAAACAACTCTCTAGCTTTTTATTGGCAATAATCTCTTCACTACTTAAACAATTATATGCATATACAGATGCACAAAACTCCATTATTGTTAAGTGTGCAAATTGATAATAACATCCCAGATTTGTTTCAATCATTTCTATAAATCCAAAAAGATTACTTTCAATCTTATCAAAATCAATGATAAAAGTTTGAAATTCTTCTTCTGAAAAAATTACTTTATTTTCAACAAACAATTCATATGCAATTTTACAAATATTTAAAATATATTTCTTAATGGAATCCTCTTCGATTATCTTATTGATCAATTTATTTGTTTTTTTGATGTGATTTTGAAAAAAGTATAAAAAAATACTAGCATATAAATTTGTCATTGTTAAGAAAGAATTTTTATTTATTTCGTTTGAAACACCAATAATTTTACACATGGAACATAAATAAAATGGAACAGACGCCATGGCTTTTGCAATTGGAGAGCTGCTCAAAGTTTCCTTTACAACATCTTTTTTTTCATCACTAACTTTATTTTCTATATAACTATCTATTCCTTTTTGGTTAAAACCCATTATTTGAATGGATAATTTATTACTATGCTCTATAGATATACTTTGGTACTGATCAACTGCATAAACTCTACCAGCAATTACATATTTGTATTTTTGAACTTCTGTTAAAATATTAACTATTGGATAGTTACAACTTGAACTGCAATTTATTAACTCATTTAAGTATTTAAATTCATCTAATCCATCAATTATAAACAGTGCAGAATGATTACTAATACTAAAATCATTTATAACATCTTTGTAGAAAACATTTAGTAATTCATTAATATTAGAAATATTTTGATATTGATTAAGCCTTCTGCATTCCAAATAAAACACAAGCTCAACATTTTTCCAAATTAAATTGTTTGACCAATCAAGCAAGCATTTTCGAAGCAACCATGTTTTTCCAATACCAGCTATTCCAGATATTAATATTTCAGATTTTTCTTTCATAAAAATTTCACTATATGAAATAGGTGTATAGTTCATTTGCTTTTCAAGAAATTTTTTTCGTTCAAAATTAAAAACAACATCCATTTGAGTATTAACTGCATCAACAATACATAGATCAATAAAGTTATCCGTTAAATCAACATTTGCAGGTGCTTTTAATGGTGGTTGAATTTCATTTACTTTTCCATAATTTTCACGATAATAATTTTTCAGTGCTGTGCACATCTCTGATGTTTCTAAATATAAATAATTCATCATCATCATCATCATCATCATCATCATCATCATCATCATCATCATCATCATCATCATCATCATCATCATCATCATCATCATCATCATCATCATCATCATCATCATCATCACCATCATCATCATCATCATCATAATCATCATCATCTAAAATATTTTAGTATGCACAGGTATCATAGCTTTGAATTCAGAAACTATACATTACAAATATTTAATAATTAATTTAACTATAAATTTAACTTCAAATATAAAATTTAACTTTAAATATAAATTAATAATTAATTTAAAATTTTATTTCTAAAATTTGAATTTACAATTTATTTAAATAGCGTAGGGTTGCGTGTCTATAAATAGATTTTAAAATTTCACGCGCAACGAATTTTGGAATTGAATGCGGACAAACAAACAGACGATGGCAAAGAAATATGAAGGATTATTGCCGACTGGAGCAACCAAATATTGTTGCTGGGGAGTGTGCCATTCCAATAGTCGTTATCCAGATAAATTACCAGCAGAAACATTTTTTTAAAGGTTTCCTTAACCTGGTAAAATTAAGGAATGGATGCCAGATTCGGAAAAAGAAAAAAAAAATATTAAAACAAAATTATGTTAAAAATGGATTCATGCTTGTGGTAGAAAATCTTTTAATATTAACAATATAAAGAAAGATACGTATATTTGTTCGTTATATTTTTTTGAAAGCAAAGGTCCTACTAAAGAACATCCTAATCCATTGAAAGCAAACCTTACAGAACAGCAGATTTACTCTATTAACAAAAGAAAAAGAAAAAATCCAACCATTCGCGATGTTGTTATTAAGTCTAAGCAAAAGAGATAAACTGTTATTTATAGTCTTGTTGATTTTCAAATAGAAAGTGTTTCTCAATCTTATTGCGGACTTAATTCAAAAAATGATTTTACTGAAGGCAGTGATATCCTAGTTGAAATCAGTAGTAAATTAAATGATCATTGTAATTCTTTAGTTTTAAATGAATCAAATAATATTATTGTTAAAACTTGTGATCAGTCTACGCAAACCATTTATGATAAACATCTACTTGCATCAAAAATTGAAACAGTTATTTTAAAAAGAAGTCTAGACAATTATATTCGATTTCTCTCACCATCTTATTCAATTTCTTCCAGTGTATCAAGTGTACCAAATAGTAATTTCATGTCAATGGAGTATATTTTATCTTCTGAAGTTAAATGTAAATATTTTATTGGTTTAACATCGGCTCAATTTTCTAGCTTATATGATTTTCTTGGACCTGCAAAATTCAATCTCTCCTACTGGAATAGTTCAAGAAAAGTTAAAAACTCAACAGATTCATCTAAGCTATCACTAAAAGAACAGTTGTTTGTTACATTATTAAGACTTCGTCGAGGGTTTAATATATTTACTCGTGCTCATATGTATAATGTGAGTTTGTTTTATATACGTTCTATATTTACAACTTGGATAATGTATATGTTTCATCATTTTAAATGTCTTAAATATAAAATGTTTCCAGAACGTGAAGTTTTCAAAAGAACATTACCTAAAGTATTTCGAACATTCAAAAATATCCGTGCTACTATTGACTGTACAGAGTTTAGATGTGAGGTTCCAAGAAATTATGCTCAACAAGGAAACACATATTCATCATACAAGCATCATTGCACTATGAAATATCTTATTGCTGTGAATCCTAATGGTGCAGCTTGTTTTGTATCAGACTTGTATGAAGGAAGCATTACAGATGTTGATATATTTAATAAATGTGGTATTATGAAACATATTAATCCGGAAGACACATTTCTTGTAGATAAGGGGTTTAAAATTCAACATTTACTTTTAGAAAAACAAGCTACTTTATTTATTCCACCTTTTTTGGGTAAACGAGAAAAATTTACTGCGGAAGAAATAATGCTGACAAAAAGAATTGCGAAAGCCAGGATCCATATAGAAAGATTTAACAAGCGTTTAAAAAAGTTTAGAATAATTGATTGTGTTATACCTCAATCGTTAACAACAATATCTTCTCAACTTGTTTTTGTTGCTTTCTGCCTCGTTAACTTTCAAGATTGTTTGTGTGTTTAATAATTATATGATAGTTATAGTTAAGAAGTTACTTATTCTTCTTTTCGAGTTATTATTTAAAATTATTTTGATTAAAATTTACAAAAAACTTTTTGCATATTGCCGCTCCCAAATTAATTTCTTCAATATTGTTAAACAATCTATATTGAACAAACACAGTTTTCTAATTTTAATAATTCTAGGGTTATTACACGTTTTTTTATCAAAGATTAAATAGCTGTAGTAGGCAACTATAAAATCATTTCAAATAAATTGAATTTAAAAAATCAGGATTTCAATGTTCTACTGTGAAAATTCCTTTGTTTAATTACAGGGTAAATTTAGCTTCATAGTTTAAATAGTGTATCTATTACACAAATAGGAAATATTACGTAATATTAAGATTCTTCTGCTTTACTAAGGTATGGGATAGAATTAGAATAGTCAAAGGTGATAGATAGACTCCAAAACCAAAACTATTGCTCGGCCTCTCTCTGTGAAGTAGGGGGAGCGGGTGATGTTTACTCGAAAATTAAAAAACAAAATGATCATATTTATATATCAGATTGTTATATTTTGTTGTTCCTTAATTTTTATGTAATTTTACAGTTTAAATCTTTAAAATAACACTTCTCAAATTTCTTTAAAACAACACGTATCAATCCTACGTATCAATCCTACGTTATTTGAAATTAATTATCGTTATAGGTTATATTCTGAAAAGTCCTGCAATATTTTTTTTTTTCTTTTCATATTTTAAAACAACATAGGTTTTATAGTCAAAAATACCATAGTTTTACATTTATTCTTAACTATTGACGTTTAAAAACACGATACTTTATTCTTTCAAATTTTGAAGAAATATGTAAGGCTTTTTATATTCTAAACGTGTTTCCGATCATCCTGGGCAGTTTCAAGTGCAGCACAACGATATTTTACTAAAATATGCAATTTTTTTCTAATCTTGTTTTCCTTGAGGAAAAAAAGCAAATATTTATTATCTGTGTTTCATGGTAATGCTTATATTAATGCATAAACAAGTATAGATAATCAAAAACTAAAAAAATACTTCACAAATAAGTAATAAATAAGCTAAGAAATAATCACTTAAACATGTCTCATATTACCTTGCATAGGTTTTTCAGTTTTACAATAAATACAAGTTAGTTTAAAATCTCAGGCATAAGTTTTCGTGGAACTTTCATAATGAAGTACTCAGGTACCAGAACTTTAGACCAAAACAACTTAGTAGATTGAATAATACGTCTGTGAAGATCTTCATTTGGGAAGATTCGCTCAATATAGGGATCTCCAACACCAGAATGCATAACAAAATCACAGTACAAACATTGCGTAACCAGAAGTTGATGTTGAATTTGAAAGTAATACATGTGTGACTTTTTTAAAATAATTTTCTGATCTACAACGGAAACACATTGTCTACTTATTATAGCTTTTAGTTTTTCATCATTTGAAAGCTTTATTATATCATTAACAGATTGACTTTTAAATATTTTAAAACACTTTATTTCAATAATACCACATAACTTCTTGTCATCATCATAAATAAGACCATCTGGGGTAGCACCTAAATGTGGATGTTTTTGGTTGATCTAAAATCTACTGTTCACAACAACTTTATTAGTAATAAAAGAATAGTTTATAACAGCTTTTGGTTCTTCTTCTATGCCATATTTCATATCCATTGTTATATTATTTTCGGAAAACCAGAATCTTTTTTCAATAAAAGTGAATAAAGAAATCTTCAAACAAAAATCTAATGATTCCCCTAAATTAACACATTTTTTGGATACAGATGCTGTTATACGACACCATCTTGCTTGATGCCAAGTTAAAGATTTGGCTTGATCAACTGTATCTGGAATTTCACCAAAATTTATATTTTTTCCAAGAAGTTTTTCATTATTTAATAACAAAGATTCTTCAAAATTTTGAACAAGTTCTCTATAATAAATGGTATCTTCATTAGATAAATGGAAATCATCATATTTAATCTGTAAGAGCGTTTCCCACATGGATTGATTTTGACTGTTTTGCGATGAGATTAATTGAAGATCAGTAACAAAATTTGTAACAGATTCACAGTTTACGTCTTGATATTTAAGTGGTCGAGGGTCCCAATTAAACATTTTATCTGGTTTCCAACGTTTATTTGTAGAATAAACAGTTTGATGAAGAGCAGTTGAATTTTTTATTCGTTTTTTACCTTTATTCCACTGACAGGGTTCTGAAGTACATACATTCTTAACAATAAATCCATGTTCAGTGACATAATCACTTAAATACAAAAGAAGTTCAGTAACATGATAGCATCTGCTAATTTCGCTAGCTTTGCAATTGCATGAAGTATATTTAATATATCCACTAGCATTGCTAATAGCTATAAAACCAAGTGGAGGTTTTTCAGATTTCATTGAATGATGAACATGTCCTCTAACAAAATAAATTTCACCTGCAGAAGAAAAGTTATCTTGTATATTTTCAACAAATCCACTATTTAAAAGCAACCTTCCTTTGTGTAGTTGCATAGCAGTAACAATATCCTCACAATCAATGTCATCTATATCTTGTTGTAAGTCATTGACTGCTGGAGAGTAAGAAATATATGCATTGGAAACAGACTCAACAACAAAATAATAAACATGTCCATAATTGAAGTTTGAAGGTAAATTTCTGGAAGGAAACCGTTTCCATTCTTCAACAGGAAAAGATGAAGAGGTATTTGTTGATTCCTTAAAGTTAGTTAATATAGACGCAGTTTTAATGTTATACCATTTTTCTTTGTCCACTTTAAGATCGACAAGAAGATTTAAATTTATAGCTCTTTGGACTCTCAACACAAGTTCTTCTTTTCTCCCGCTTTGTTTTAGTTTATGACACTCTAGCCACCTTTTAAGCTCATTTAAACTGCATTCCAATGGAATTCTAAGCAGTTTAGCACCAGGAACATCATCGTCAGTAAGAGAAATACAAGCTAAAACCCTACAGTTTACAGCCATTATTTGTTTTGTTTGTCCGCACGTAGTCTGGCGATAGTTATGATAAGTTTTCGTGACGTATGCAAAACCCTACCCTATTCTAAACCAAACTTTATCCAAATCCATATACCTCTTACTACTCACTATTACATCAACCATTTATTTGAACGTTGTGATTTTAATAATTATTAATTTAATAATTTAATTTAATTATTTTAATTATTATTAATTATACACCAACCGTATGAATGTTGTGATTTCATCAATTACTACACCAACCATGTTTGAATGTTGTGATTTCATCAATTATTACATCAACCATATGTTTGAGTGTTGTGATTTTATTAATTATTACATCAACCATATGTTTGAATGTTGTGATTTTATTAATTACTACACAAACCATTTGAACAATGTGATTTTATTATTACAGGGCAATCCATGTGAAAGCATCCAATTTTTTATAAAATGCAACCCTAAGTCTCAGATTTTACTGATTTTTACATCACTCAAAGATTTTAATAAGTTATGAACATTTCTAAAATTTTATCATCTAATTCTAGACGGTTTCAAAGATATGACTCTTCAAAATTTGCCTTAAACCAACAAAAATCCGCTATTTTGAAAATTGGTTTTTGTCATTGTTTCTGTTCTGTGTGGAATGGAAAGCTGGAAACATGTACACTTACATATTAGGGTGCATTAAACTCCTCGTTGTAAGTTTCAGACTTGAGGTGGCCCCCCTAAATCTCATTCATTTTTGAAAAAGTTTAACAGAGTGTCTTGTAAAACCAATAGAAATATTTAAGAATATGAACAGATCAATTTTTGAATTTATGGGGCGTTTGATGCACCCTATTACAAACTCTGTAGCTCAATTTAAAAAAATTTGGTAGTGGTCTTTTCTTAAACAGAAAAAAAAAGGTCAAATTTACTATAAATTTGTTACTTGAAAGTTAAGTTTTTTCCTTTCAATTTGTCAAATTGAAAATAAAAAAAAAAGGTGGTACTCTCAAGTGCAAAATACACAGCAGTTGATGCTTAATAATTTTCGAAAAGTTTTTCCACCCACCCTGAGCTTATTAAGACCCTCTCCCCCATTAATTGAATTTTATTCAGTTAGGCAGAGTCACAAAAAAGACTCCGGTTTGAGTCACAAAAGTCACAAAAAAATTTCTTCCTAATTTTTAGCATTTAGGAGCTCTAAAAATATAAAAAAACTTATAGACTGCTAATGGAATAAAACTTTAGGATTTTGAACAAGCAGTCTTTAGGTATAATGCCAGCAAAAACTCCAGGATTTAAAACAATATCTTCTAAGCTATTAAACCTTGTGTTTTTTTCTTTTCTTTTTGCAGGTCATAAGTCAACCAACATATTTCGAGCTTTTGGACCCCAGAGACCAGGAAAAAATAGAGATAGAGAAATAGAGAGTCCTTTTTTGGGAATCCACATCCCTGATTTTATGTTGTGAACAAAGAAACTGTATCTCAAAACAAAAAATAACACCTACCACTATTGCATTGCATTACCTAACTGAAATTTCCTTACCTATTGCAATGTGATCAATTTTCTTTAAAATAATTTTAGGTAAAAAAAACGATAAATTGTTTGTATCTGTTATGATATTCTAATGATTATTACATTCTGAGTATGATATTCTAATGATTATTACATTCTGAATTAGGTTTTAGTCTCAATTTTATAAGCTATTCAATCCCAAATTAAATTAAATAATAAATACTCCATATAAAACGCATTATCATATAATCTAGAAAGTGATAACATAATGAAATACAGATATTGATGATAATAACCTTATCAAATATTGTTTTTTCACCAATAATTGTCTCGTCCAAATGTTGCCCACTGGTCAATAAAAAAGCAACTGTTTATTTATATATGAATATATATATATTATTATAACTGTTTATTTACATATATTTAATTATAACAGTTTATTATTCATAACTTTTAGTTTAGAAAGTAAAACTTTCTAAATTAAAAGTTATTAGAAACATTAAAATTCTTAGAAAAATTAAATAAAAAAGTCAGATTATGATTCTGAATTTCCTCATTAAAATTATATAAGATACATTTGACAATGTTTTTACTTCTGTTTTAGAAAAGATCACAACCAAACTCATACAATTGAAACTAAATTATTCAAGACAATCAAAAATAAAGAAATTTAATCTGCATTTTTTAATTCAACTCACCCACATTAAAACTTTAATAATTTAGTAAGTCAGCAACAAGTAAAGGAACAATTTGATATGATCAAAACTTTTTCAGTTTCATTACTATCAAGTTACTCTCAATTGCTTAACACAATGTGATATAAAAATAAAAGAATGGATGGGAATTTTTATCCAAGTGTATTAAATGGGGGGAGATAAGAAAAAAAGAAGATGAAGTAGTCTTAACAAATAGGTGAGTGGAAACTTTTTTAATTCTTTAAGTGAGTTTATATTTTCTAATTTTTAGGATCTAAATGGATCTTTAAAATTTTGAAAATGATAACTGAAATTTTTCTTTCAGATTTGGGATACAGTTTCTTTGTTTGTAACAAGTAAAATTTAACAAACAGGAGGCGGTCTCAATAAGCTCAGGGTGGGTGAAAAATTTTTTGGAAAATTATTAATCATCAACTGCTGTGTATTATGCACTTAGGAGTACCACCTTTTTTTTTTTTCGTTTTTTATAATTCCTGTTTTTTAAGTATCAAATATAAGTAAATTTGACAGTTTTTTTTTTTCTGTTTAAGAAAAGACCACTCTCCAATTCTTTGTAATAACTCTAACTAAACTATTCAGAACGACATCTAAAGAAATAAGAAAAAAAAAATTTATCTACAACAGCATTTTTGTAATTAAACTCACCCAAGTAAAATTGCCATAATTGTCAAAATTACAAGTGTTATGTTTATTTTTAAAAATTTTAGTTGTTTAATAGTATTCCTTGCCTCAAAATAAGTAAGTTTACATATTTTAAGCTTGCCATTGCACACAGAACAGAAACAATAATCAAAACCATTTTTTAAAATGGCAGATTTTGTTCAAGGCAAAGTTCGAGGAGTCTTTGAAAGCACTTGGAATTATATGATAAAATTTTAAAAATGTTTATAACTTATTAAAATCTGTGATGTAAAAAATCAGTAACATCTGAAGATTGACCTGGATGTTTTCACATGGAATTGCCCTACACCAATCGTTTGAATGGTGTACTTTTATTATTCCACCAACCATATGTTTGAATGTTGGGATTTTATTAATTACTACACCAACCATATGTTTGAATATTGTGATTTTATTAATTATTACACCAATCTTTTGAATGATGTAACTTTAGAGAATTTTAAAGAAAAATAGTCAACCGTACATAAAAATTACCTTTACCTTTCTTGACACAAAACTTGCTATCAGTATTTAGTGGATTTGAAGAAACTAATAGAAAAAAAAAGTTATTAATTCTAACTAACTTATTTAACGTTAATAAAATTATTCATTCTGAAAAACTTCTCATTTAAGTTTTTTTATCATTTAAAGTTATCTTATCTATTTATTATTGTAGTTATCTTTTTATCTAACATATTTACTCGAAGAAATTGTTAATTTATTTAAAGGAAAGGCTAAAGAATCTCATTCTCAAAGTTAAATATGAGATTCCTTAACTTTAAAAACATCTGATAACCAATTTTTGCTTTTTTTAAGACTTCAAAGCACAACTTTTATATAAGTACATGTACACTTTAAGACATTAAACAACAATGTTTTTAATTTGTATAACTTTGATGGTAAATGAACTTTTATTTTAAAATTTGCATAAATAAATAAATTAAAATTTTTTTCAAATTTCAAAACTTTTTATTTTTTTTGTTAGTTATTTATTTATTTATTTGTTAGTAAATAATTTTACAGGTTACACTAACTAATATTACATAAAAATAAATTAAGTTATGGATTTGAAGAAAACTGATACCTACATAACCTAAATGCAAAGGAGGAGATTAAAAGTTCTTGATAAGTATAAAAATGATAAAATCTGATTTTATTTAATGTTACTCTTTTTGTCATTTTATTAATTTTTATTTATTTTTTTGATTTTTGTCATTTTATTTGTACGTCTGTTATTTAAAATATTTAAAATAAATAATTGAAAAATAATAAATTATTTGTCAATTATTTATTGTTTAGTTATTAAATATTATAAAAATACTTTACAACACAATACACTGTTTTAGGAAATAAACTGTCAAGTGATAAAAATTTTCAATTAAACTTTATTACATTCTCAAAAATTATCCATTTTATGATTTTACCATATATGCAGATGGTAGAATCAACTTATTAATAACTGAAGTAATTACTTCTACATTAGTTACTTCTACACAGTCATTGTGTATAGGATGAGCAAAACCTTCCCGGGTGACCATGTCAGACTTTCTTGAAATTTGGAAAAAAGAGATTTCTCTAAAATTTCAACTCATGACCTTGAAGCATTCTAAAAATATGGCAATTAGGAAAATTAATGCTTAAGCCTATTTATTGTTTTTTCAAAAAATTTTCTTATTTTCAAAGCCATATAAATAAAAAACTAATTATCTTAAATATTTAAAAATCAATCTGATGACAATAATCTATCTCAACTTCAAAAAAAAAAAAATTAATTTTTAGCCCATCTTAGACTTGAAAGTAAAAAAATAAATAAATAAAAAAAAACACTTTAAAGAAAAAATTTTAATATTAAGAAAACAAATGAAAGCAGAATACACAAGCAAATGTGAAAATTATGTTATTTTGTGAGAATATAGGTGGTAGTCATTATTTATGATAAGTTTTGTAACATTAGATTATAGAAGTAATTAAAAAGAAATAATTATAGAAGTTAAATCCCTATAAAAAACCCATCAGCCTTAAAATGTTAAATTTATGAACTGAAAATTCTAGGTGTACAGTAAATTTAACACTTGAAACTATTAGGATTGTATATAAATAATTTTGGGATGTCTTGTAGCTGCTGAGATTTTTCATTTATTTTTTTGATTTTCGTCATTTTATTTATTCATCAAATTATTTATTGTTCGGTTATTAAATATTATAAAAATACTTTTATGTTTTAGGAAATAAACTGTTGAGTGATAAGAATTATCAATTAAACTTCATTACATTATCTAAAATTATCCATTTTGTGATTTTACCATATATGCAGATGGTAGAATCAACTTATTAATTACTGAAGTAATTACTTCTACATTAGTTACTTCTACACAGTCATTTCGTATAAGATGAGCAAAACCTTCCCGGGTGACCATGTCAGATTTTCTTGAAATTTACACTACTGATAGGTTTTATGGAAAAAAGAGATTTCCCTAAAATTTTCATTACCTTGAAGCATTCTAAAATTATGGCAACTTTATGGCAAAAATTAATGTCTTAGCCTACTTATTGTTTTTTTTTTCAAAAAATTTTCTCATTTTTAAATCCATATAAATAAAAAACTAATTATCTTAAATACTTAAAATTAATCTGATGACAATAATTTACCTCAACTTCAAAAAAAAAAAAATTTATAATAGGCATCCTCCAGAGACAAACTTCATCTCTTGTGGTGACAGTAATTGTGATTTGGAAAATAGTCGTGCTCAATGACCGTCATGCTCAATGATCGTAACACTAACCATTACGGGCTAGGCCCAATATTATTAAAAAACTTTGGCATATGAAATATTCAAAGTTATAAAAAAACACTTTAAACAAAAAATTTTATTATTAAAAAAGCAAATGTGAAAACTATGTTATTTTGTGAGAATATAGGTGGTAGTCATTATTCATGATAAGTTTTGTAACATTGGATTCAAAATTATAGAAGTTAGATCCCTCTAAAAAAGCCTCCAGCCTTAAAATGTTAAAATTAGGTGCATTTATGACCTGAAATATTTAGATGTCCAGTAAATTTAACACTTGAAACTTTTAGGAATGTATATTAAAATTAAGAAGAAATATAGAGAAAATAATTTTGGGATGTCTTGTAGCTTCTGAGATATCTGAACGTAAACTTTCCATCAAAATAGGATTTTGGAAATCAAAATTGGCCATTTTGAATTTGTAATATAACCGATATGTCTAAAACGGATCAAGAATCAAACCTAACAATTATTTTTATTCTTTTTGAATTAAAGCCTTCTAAAATTAAATTTTTAAGTTATAAAAATAAGTAGTGGACAAGAAATCATTTTTTTTTTAATTTTTTTTTTTTTGTTATATTATATTATTATATATATATATATATATATATATATATATATATATATATATATATATATATATATATATATATATATATATATATATATATATATATATATATTATATATATATATATATATATATATATATTGTCAATAAACAATCATTTTACAATGTTTTTTGTAAAAATTAAAAATTAAATACTTATATTCTGACAGGAGCAAGCAGAAGACAATCTGTCTTATCACCCTGCTCCTAAGTTCGTGAAAATATCAATAAAGTTTTACGTATTAACTTCTTAAAATATACGTTATATAAGTTTTATAAATATTACAAGTTTTGTACATAATACAACACATCATAGTTCACAAAATATACATAGGCCACAAGCATATATATGTGTTAACAAATCAATATATAAATGTTTTTTTAAAAATACAAAAGAATGTTTTTATTATTTAAATCTAATAAGTATAGTTTAACGGCTCTTTAAAATAGTTTAATTGAAGTCATGTTTTTTATGTCTCTATTCAGGAAATAGTTCCACAAACGTGGTCCTCGACATGTTATTGAGAAGTCTGTTTTTCTAAGGGATGTTGTAGATATGAGAAAATTGCTAATGGAATATCTTGTAAAGTATTTGTGATTAATTAAGGTGAAATAAGCCTGAAAATATGTTGGAAGCAAATTGTTATAAATTTTAAACATAAATAACAGATTTTGATAGATGTTTAGTTTATAAATATTTAAAACAATAATTTTTTTAAGTAAAGGCTCGGCGCATGCATATCTACCTGCATTCAAAATTAACCGGCTCGCTTGTTTTTGTTTGGTATTAATTTTTTTTAAAGAGGATGAATAATTACTTGCCCACGCTATAATGCAATAACTAATGTGACTATGAATAAATGAAAAATACAAGCTTTTTAAGCACATTATATTCAAAAGGTGCTTTGTTTTGAAAAGGATCCCAAGAGCTTTTGAAATGTTGTTTTCCACAAATTGGAAAACAACATTTCAAATCAACAAAAACTCCAAGTGTAATATAATTATTGCCATCAAATCCTTTCAAAATATTGCTAGCCAAATCCATCACAGCATGCTCAGTGCAATGATTTCTCCGAAATCCAAACTGTTTAGGATATAAAATATTGTTTTTATCGATGAAGTTATATATTCTATTATACATAATACGTTCAAGAACCTTTGAAAAACAGGAAAGAATTGAGATGGGTCTGTAGTTTGATTCTAAAGAATCGTCACCGTTTTTATAAATTGGAATTATTTTAGCAAGTTTTAATTGATCAGGAAAGTCCCCGTTTCTTAATGAAAGTTTAAAAATAATAAAAATAGGCAATTCGATAATATCAAAGACACTTTTCAAAACATTTGTATTAATTTCATCTAGACCTGGACTTTTATTTTTCTGAAGCATGTCAAAAGCTGAACGAAGTTCTTTCAATGGAAAGTTCCGAATTGTCCATAATAAAATCTGATTTTTTCAAAAAAGACTGGAGTGTTTTGCTACTTGGAGAGATTTCTTTGGCTAAATTTTTCCAAACATTTATAAAAAAATTATTAAGTCTCTCAGCAATTGTTTTTTTATTAAAAATTTCACCTTTATCAGTTTTCAGTCGATTAGGGAAGAATGTTTTCCCTGTTATTTCTTTTATTATAGTCCAAGTTTTTTTAGCGTTTCCAAATGATTTCTGAAGTAGTCCAGTATAGAAGTTTTTTTTTGATTGCTTTTTTATTTTTTCAAAATAGTTTTTGTATTTTTTATATTTAGTTTCATTTTCATAGTTTTTGTTTTTTAAATATTTTTCGTAAAGCTTTTTTTTTTTTTTTTTGAAGATCTTAAAAGACCTTTTGTCATCCACGGGCTATGCACACTTTTGGATTTTATAGTTTTCTGAACTTTAGGAAAAGCCTTTTCATATTGCCTTGTAAAGACGCGGATAAAGAAATCATATGCGCTACAAGTTTCATAGCAATCATTCAATAACTCCCAATTGATTTCACGCAAAAGCTGTCTGAAAATCGCAATCGAGCCTTTGTTTACATGCCTTATGTATACTGTTATGGGTTTTTTATTTATACAGCATTTAGTATTTGTAGTTAAAAAATAACAGGGAAATGGTCACTGATATCCGTTTTTATTATACCACTGTTGATTGTCGAGTTACTATAATTATTAG